TTTAATGGATTTAGCAAAGTATGTATATTTTGCATACTTTGCGTAAGTTTGGGTTTACGCAAACCGCGTGGGCAAAAAGTCGATATAATTCGATTTTGTTCTCATTTCTAGGGAGTTTAATTTCCTCCGTAATTTCAGGCACAAAGGAATAAATTAACATTGCGCGGCCAAGTCAAATTTTACCACAGAAATTATCTTCTCTATAGTCAAAGGCGTGCGTGAGTTTGAATTCTGTAATATTTTTTCCTTTAATTTTCAAGCCCGCATGGCCCCACACTGACCTACAGCTGGGTAATCAGAAATAATTTTTTGTGTGCCGAACTACGTAAATTTTTATGGAAAAATATATGATCACAGTATTCATACAAAAAAAAATATTGTTTGATTGGTATACACTCATACCTATGTAATACTCCTATTGTGAATAATTATAGTAAAAAAGGAAAAAAAAAACGAACGATAAAAGAGAAAAGATTTCTCGGAAACAGCTTTAACGATTTGTCTGAAATTTCGTAGTTAGATAATATTTTACTTTAAAAGTTTTTCTATATAAATGTAATGCCTGAGAAAATTATGTTGTTAGGCAGTTTAATAACTTCTTGTGCAATTATTTAAATAAGGAGCTGTATCTTATCTGTAATCTTGTCTTAAATGTGTCTGTTCAGCTGTACGCTTGTGGAACTCCTTGCCTTTATATGTTTGACGTGCTCAGGACCTTCTTTCATATGATATATTTTAAAGTTTAACTTTATCAAGAAAGAGTGTTTGTGTAATTTTTTATTTAAATAAAGAAATACACTGTTCGAAATTAAAAATAAAACTCTTTTATATTTCAATAAAAAAATTGAGAAATTCAACCCTAATATAATTTTAACTCAAATTGGATCGAAAGAAAAAAATTGTTTAACCAAACTTATGCAATAATTGCCGTGTAGTGGCGATTAAGAATATCCACTACCCCATATCTTCCCGTAGGTGTCGTAAGAGGCGACAGAGGGAAACAGGCAGGAGATGGGCAGCAGCATCTTCCTGATAACAACAATTGTTTTAGGATCATCCGAGGTCCAAAGAGAGGGGAGGACACTGTGATTCTCGAATCCGACTACTTTTTACATCACTGGGAGGGCGACCATCTGTCCCAAGGAGGTGTTAGATTTATCGTCCACAAGTCTGTCGTCAACAACGTTGTAAAGATTGGGAGTGTGTCGACGAGGGTTGAGTACCTTAAACTCAGAATCACCAAACGGTATTCACTGAAGATCAACCCTGGCACATCCCTATGAGGAGGTGGAGGAAACGTATAAGGATATCTTTAAAGCCATGCATTTCTTCATAACCCACTATCCGGTGTTAATGGGAGACTTCAACGCAAAACTAGGCACAAGAAAGAACGGTGAACTGAAGGTAGGAAAATTTGGGATAGGGCAACGGAACCCAAGGGATCAGCAGATTTCATGGGGAAAGAGGGACTCTTTTTGTTAACTCTTTCTTCCAGAAGCGGCCCCACAGAAAGTGGACTTGATTGAGCCCCGACGGTTCGACAAAAAATTAAATTGACTTCGTTATGACGACAAGACGGCAACTGTTCAGAGATGTCTCAGTAATCGCAAGGGTGAAAACTGGCAGCGATCACCAAATGGTTAGAGGCACACTGAACCTAAACGTTAAATTGGAGAGGTCTCGCCTAATGAAGCAACCTTCCGTCCCCTCGTGCTCTAATCCGAAGTCCCGAAAACTGCCAGTTCGAGTTATGAAACCGTTTTCAGTGCCTAGAATATTGCGATGCAGTGGACGATATGAATGACGAGCTCGTGGAAACTATCCACGCAGCGGAGCTAAGTTCTGGAAGATGCGCCGCAGAAAAACAGAAAACTCTCCGATCACACTCTTAGTCTCATGGCTGTTAGACTGATAGTTAGCTTTAGTTTTTATCGCAATCGGATAGACGCAATATGAACTTATAGTATCTTGAAGTCTTGTAATATTATGCTTGGGTTGGGATTTAATTTTATTAATTGTGGGACAAATAGTAGCACCCAGTTATCTTTTCTATTGAAATTAGGATGTTTTTTGATTTCAAAAGCCTCGCGAATCATCTTTCAGAGGAATCGGTGTTCTTTAGCAAGGATTTGTGATCTATCAAATCTGATGTAGCGACGGTGGCGACCCTGTACGTGTTCACAGACTGCAGACTTCCAGGAGCGTCGATTCTTCACATCAGCTACGTGTTCTTTTACGCTTTTTACAAATAACGTCATTACCAATCGTCCGCACGCAGACTCGATGACATCCAGCCTTCTGAACAAGTCGGTTTCCGAAAACGCTTTAGTACCACAGACCACATACATACCCTGCAACAGATTGTACAGAACACCGAATAATACTTACAGCTACTTCAGCGATGCCATGTTGATTGTTAGTATATCAAAGTGTTGAAGTGTTTCTACAGTATATCTGCTTTTATTGTAGTGGCGTTGGTTCTTGAAACACGGGCCAGCAATCTGATAAAGTGCTTTTGAGAAGCATTCAGAACAGTTAAGTGACCATTTAGCAATGCACCTCAGCAATGTAGCCAAGAAACAGGATTAGCATACAGCAACTCTGCGTGCTATTTCTCTTAGGGAATATCCTTATTCTCTCATAGTTACAATCCTTGCTCGTAAAACTTCTAATTATCCTTTTGACAATTTTTCAGTCACCTTTTTTCTTTATTTTCCTCGAAAATATATTTTAAATCCGTTACAAATGATTAAGTCAGATTTAGGAATGAGCGTAAGCCTGGATTGAATTAATTTTTATATGGCAAAACAATTTTGCTCTTAATAGTAAAATCGTTTTCATGGACTCATAATTAGTAGATTTAACTCCCGCTATGCTTCGAGATGGGACGATATTTCTGTGGGTTTAAAAAAATTAACACCTTGTTAGCACCTCATATATCCCATATATGTAACTTAAGTTTTTTATCTGGTGTTTTTTCGAATCAATTTAAACAAGCAATAATTTGTCCAATATATTTATAAATTAGGAGACAAGTCACTTCCATCAAATTATAGGCCATTAGTTCTGTTATCATCATTTTTTAAGATACTAGAGAAGCTTGTATATAGACGATTAATCAGGTACATATAAAATAATAAATGACTTTAGAGCAAATCGTTCCACCACGGTTTTCCATTTGACCACTAAAATAACAAAATATATAGATAAAGGCAAAATGTGCTTATGAGTTTTCCTAGATTTGCAAAAAGCATTCGACACAATATCTACTCCTGTCCTTATAACTCGTCTTCAGAATTTTGGCATTCGAGGTATTTGGTATAGCGCTTTGTACAAACGTACAAAGCGCTATACCAGAGTGTTATCAGGTATTACACATGTTCTTGGGGATGCGCTGCTAAAACACATGTTATAGAATTAGAGTGAGCCCAAAGGGATGTACTAAAGGTAACACTTTCCCTCCCTTACAGATATTCGACAGAAATGGTATATAAGTTAACTGAAGTACTAAATGCACGCATATTATTCATAAATCAATGTCTTAGACGCTTTCATAGTTGTAGTGTTCCGCAAAAAGTCTTAAAGAATATGACTACTACTAATGCAAAAATTTAATAGCTCCATACGAATAACTTTATGTGCAGTGCAACTATTACGCTACTCATACACACACACACACACACACACACGCACGCACGCACGCACGCACGCACGCACGCACGCACGCACATACCACGCACGCACGCACGCACGCACGCACGCACGCACGCACGCACGCACGCACGCACGCACGCACGCACAGCACGCACGCACGCCGCAGCACGCAAGAAGAACGCACGCACGCACACACACACACACACACACACACACAATTTTTTTTTTATTGATCTATCAACATTTGTATCATTCCTTACATGCTATTTAAATAAAATGAAGCGATAAGAACTAAAATGTACAAATAATTACAGGCGGATACAACATGCAAATAACTTTCTCAGCACTGTGTATCTCTATTACTGGGATAAAGAAAGAATTAAAAATTAAAAGAAATTATAAGTAAATACAAATAAAAATATATAGAAGCGAGAAGGAAAGAACATATTTTATAGAATGTTACAAGAGATGGTCTCTTAAGGTGCGACGGAGCTTGTGAGGTGGGTGGAAAAATATATCAATTTTATCTCTAAATTTGTTAACAAGTTTACTTAATCTAGCAATTGGGGAATTGGAGCCAAACACTGTTCTTCTATATGGTCTAGTCAATGGTGTAATCTTACGAGCGTAACGCGGGTAACGAAAGGGAACGCATATATTAAATTTACTTAAAATTTCAGGACAGTCAATAACACCACTAATAATTTTAGAAGCAAAAATCAAATCAATAATATCCCTGCGGTTTTCAAGAGAAATCATTTTGAAATTGATCAAATTATTTTCATATGATACACACTTCTTATTACTTCTAACTCCGCTTGCGTATGACAAATATCTTATAAATCTTTTTTCGATCCCCTCGATTCTCAGTGAATGTGTAGCGAATTTTCTCTCCCCCCCACACGTGTATAATGTTAAAATGAGTATTAAATATATAAAAAAGTTACTGAGATTTACTGATTAGAAAGGAACTGGCTCCTGAAATACAGGGTATCCTAGTTTGGGAGTCATTTCACAATAATGTTGTATGAAATATAGAAGTATTAATAAAGATATTAATTATTATTAATTACTTCTTTTATATTCTTATTCTATATTTTAAGTAAAGAAGAAGAAATTATAATATAGTCTACCGTAACAAAAAAGATTTCAATTTTCAGCCTGATCACAAACTTTTTTTAATGTCTTGTCTGCATTTTATCTACTTTTAGTCATATGTATTCCTTAATGAATTTTATTAATTACAATATACCTGGGGCGTTATTTATAATACATTAAAATAAAGTACCTGATTAACGCTAAATTACACTCTCCTTCACCACCCTGATTAGGGCGGGCATTTGGCGCTAAAGTGGTCCTGTAACCTACGAACAAATATACTTTTATTTTACTTCAAAATTTGCTCCCATCTTTTAATGTTCCTGAAAAATGCAATTAAAATGTGTGCGTGGCACAATCTTCAACATTTTTTGTGAGTTTCAATACCTGTGTGGTAGGTTCATGCTTCGCTGTGAACTTTGGGGGTTCCTCAACAGAGGATAGCACACGACGTGCAAGTCGAGCAAATGTGCACCGGAACTGTCGACTCATGCTACAATACAAGACGAAGTTCACTGATGATGTAAACAGGGCCAATACGTCCATTAGATCACCTGGGAAAATAGTTTTTGTTAGTTATTTATATTATTTATATCATTTAAGAGCTGGAAAAGATTGATGAAGGCTCGTTGTTCGTTTGTGGAATTGCAATACAAATCGCAACAGCCTTTTCAACACTCAATCAACTTATTACAAATCATTATCAGGCTAAAATACTTCTCGGACTAACTCGAAATAACTGCCATAAACTGAGCTAAGGGTTAAACTAAGGGAACAACAATTTAAAATTCGTTGTCTATCAGTTCAAGTCCTAGCTAATTTTAGAAATATTTTAACGTGGTAGAGCCACGCTGCAGCTATATTGTGGTTGTAGGACGAATGGGTTGGCACGACCCGGGTAAGACATGCTCGCACAGAATACATCTATCATATAATATCAATTTAGTGCTGCTGTGTTCCGTGTGGTGAGTGTAGAGAACCGGAGACCCTTTTTACTTATAACGATGCATTCCATCTCAGTCCTCATGGGTGACATCGCATCTGCATTTCGCTTTCGCTAATTAGTGAGCTACTACGTGTTCTGACAGTTTTCTTCTTATCTATTGTTAGTTTTGTTTGTTAATATTTTTGTATAAAATATTTACATGTTTTTGAGACATGATTTTAAAAAAATTCGTTTCTCTGTCTGTTCGAGCTAATTTTTGGCATGGATAATAAAACTTCATGGACAATTAGAGAGTAATACCAGGTGTGATCTAGACTAAATTTTATCCAGAAAATGTATAGACTTTATTGAAATAGATAGTAATAATTTTAATGATTACCTTAAGTATAAATACGCTACATTAATGGATCTCACCCAGGTGAAGCCAGAGCGATTCACTAGTTTTGAAGGTTACTTTAAAATTAATGTACCTAACTACTTGCGTGTTATACAATTCTTTTTAAATATTTTCCCATTAATAGAAAATTTCTAATTAACCGAATAATATAGCTTTATAACGATATACCGTCATTAGCGGGTTTTCGCTATTGGTACTGTGCATGTTGAGAGTACGGGCTCGATGCGCCGCCATTTCTAATCATATTTTTTGTCCTTAATTTAATCGCCTTATAATGTAACGGTGTACAGCCCATACACCATTACATAATAAGGTGATTTGATTTTCACTATTTTGGCGCTGACAATAGTAGTAGACAGTACGACAAAATATATTGATAAAAGTTCTATAGCCAGCCTACCAATCTATTTATGTATCATTTTAACATGATTTCATACAATAAATCCATACTAATATTATAAATGCGAAAGTAACTCTGTCTGTCTGTCTGTCTGCTCCTCTTTCACGCCTAAACGGCTGAACGGATTTTGATGAAATTTGGTATGGTGATAGATGATAACCTAGAAATGGTCATAGGCTATAAATAATCACGCCATCGTTCTTAGGGGGTAGGCAGTAGGCAGATAACTAAATTGAGTTAGTGATTTTTAGTCGTTTTTGTTGGGACTTTTGCTCTTTCACGTATAAAAGGCTGAACAGATCTGTAAGGTAATAGATGGTTACCTAAAAACGGATATAAGATCAAAAATTATCACGTCATAGTTCTTAGGGGGTAGGAAGTAGGCAGAAAACTGAATTGAGTTAGTGATTTTTTTATGGTTTTTGGTGGGAATTTTGCTCTATCATGCCTAAACGGCTGAACGGATTTTGGTGAAATTTAGTTAGGTGATAGATAGTAACCTAGAAAAGGATATGGGCTATTAATATTCATGCTATCGTACTTAAGGCGTAGGCAGTAGGCAGAAAACTAATTAAGTTAGTGATTTTTAATAGTTTGGTTTAAAAGTTTACCTCATTCACGCCTTAACGTCTGAACGGATTTTTATAAGACTTGGTTAATATAAAGATAGGATCCTAGACACGGACACAGGCTACTTCTTACGGCGGGAAAATACCTCATTCCCGCGGAAATCTAGCGTGATCGTGTCAAGAAGCGAATGACGCCATAGCTACTGAAATGATTTTGATGTTTTTTTTTAAATGAGTGTTACTAAGACTTAAAGTTAGTATTTGATCACTTTTCTAACTTAGAGGGTCGGTAGGCGCCATAATTTAGGGAATTTATTATAAAATTTTGATGCATCTGTCTTTATTTAACAGTTTTACTTGGATCGAAACTTAGCGACATACCATCACACTACTTAACTTATAGGGTAGGAAGGTACCAAAATTCAGACTACTTTTTACTTCGGGAAAATATCTCATTCCCACAGGAACCTATACACAGCTACCTATCTACAACATTAAAACTCTGTCTAGAATCACATTACGCCATAGCTATTGATCTGATTTGTATACGATTTTTTATTCAACTGACTGTTAAATTACATACAGATAAAATCTAATTACCTACACCACAGAATTAATATAGTACTACATAACTAGCTACGCTTTAAACTTGAGGAGGTAATTAGATAGACATTTATACGAACTTTATGCTCAGTAATCAATCATAGTGATAAGTTAATACTCATTTTAGACAAAGAAATGGATAGGTAATCAGTTCATCACCGAAATTATAACACCTACACTTAGTTTGTTTACTATTCAGCGAGGGAAAATAATTCAATATAACGCAAACCTTCAAATCATACGTCGTCGTAGTGAATACAAGACGCTGCGCCGAGCGAAGAGGCGGTGCGGCGCGAGGGGAGGGCCGTGCCCAACTGTGCCTACCCAAGCGGGCAGACGCACGAGGGCAGACGTCGTCGTCGCACGTATGCGAATATTGAAATATTGCGTTACGAAACTCTATTCGTTGCGTATTTTTGGTTAGCTAAAAACGTTCTTTTTAAATTCAGAGTTGAAATAGGTACTACGGTCTACGCGTAGGGTCTGTAAGCTTTAATTTAGTCCTTTGTTTTAGATATCTAAATAAATATTTGGTAGGTTATTATTTTTGAGTCCAAGTTGACGTCATTTTCGTATTTTTATTAAGTACTTAGTTACATTTTTATTATTAGGTAGTTAAGGTAGCTGTTAGATGTAGGTATTTTCTTAACCAATCATTCATATCTCTAGGTTTACTCAGATACGTATTATTCTTTATTTTTGCAGTCGCTTTCATTTGTTAATTCTCAATTTTATTCATGTGTAGGTTAAGTGTTTTTTAGCTCACATCAGGATGTTTATAGTTCGTAGTAAATTAGTTTAGTAATAGATTTTGTCATTATATTATAGTACTTTTATGTTAGTTTTGATAGATAAGTAGGTAGTACCAGTAGTGAAGAAAATTGTGTATTGTGGTGTGGTACATAAATTCAATATTTTTTGAATTTATTTAGTTAATTTAGGTTTTAGGTATAAAAGGTTTGTCAGGTGCATAGTTGTTTCGGTTCAATACGTTATTGATTGATTTAGATATTTAGGTTATAAGTAAAAAAGTTTGCTTTATCGAAGTTTTTATAAAAAATTGTCTTACGTTGTAGTTTTTAAAACTACCGATTTTACAAATCTTTAATTATTGTTTTATTGTTTTCGATATGCCACGCAAACGTAAATCCAATCTAAGCCGTAGTTCTAGCAGAGCTCGAACTGCAAAAGTTGCCAGAAGCCAAGAATCTGAAGAGCAGACTCAGACGCGTCAGATGTTAGATTCTCAGCGTCATGCGACTCAAAGAGCTTCTGAGACCTATACGCAGACTCAAGCCCGTAGGACCTTAGATGCTGAGCGCCACGCATCTCAAAGGGCCTCTGAGACGTTTACACAGACTCAAGCCCGTCAGGCCCTAGATGCTGAACGCCACGCATCTCAAAGAGCCTCTGAGACGTTTACGCAGACTGAGACCCGTCAGCCCCTGGATGCTGACCGCCACGCATCTCAAAGGGCCTCTGAGACCTATACGCAGACTCAAGCCCGACAAACCTTAGATGCTGAGCGCCACGCATTTCAAAGGGCCTCTGAGACGTTTACGCAGACTCAGGCCCTTCAGACCCTGGATGCTGAACGCCACGCATCTCAAAGAGCTGCTGAGACAGTGGAACAGACTCAGACACGTCGAGTTTTAGATGCCGAACGTCACGCGCAATTGATTGCGGCAGAGACTGACGAAGATTCACAAAGACGACGTCTTTTAAATGCTGAACGGCAGGCAGAAAGAAGACGTACGTTTTCAATGAGTACGTGGGAGGCATTTAATGGTGCCGCTTTTGAGTATGACCCTTTGATCGACTATGTTAATCACCGATTGGTTATCATTGGGAGAATGGATAAAAAAATGCAGATATTGTGAAGCACTGAAATGGAAAGAAGAAACTCCAGGTATGTGCTGTTCTGGTGGAAAGGTTAAAATTCCATTACTTGGCGAACCAGAGGAACCTCTTAAATCTTTACTTTTATACGACAGTAACGAATCGCGCCGGTTTTTTAAGCAGGATTAGAAAGTATAATTCTTGCTTTCAGATGACGTCATTTGGTGTAGATAAGGAGGTCGTAATGCCTGGATTTTCACCTACTTTTACCATCCAAGGACAGGTGTATCACAGGATTGGTTCCTTACTTCCCGCAAATAATGAACAACCAAAGTTTTTGCAACTTTATTTCATGGGCGATGAAAAAAACGAAGCTGATCGCAGGTGTCAAAATATACAAGGAATCGAAAGGGATACTGTTTTAAAAATCCAGAGAATGTTGCATGAACATAATCGCCTTATCAATACTTTCAAAACAGCACTAGAAAGAATGCCGGGAGAGGATTATAGGTTGGTGATGCACCCCGATCGCACACCAAGTGGGGAACATGAAAGGCGGTATAATGCACCGTTAATAAATGAAGTCGCAGCCTTGGTTACAGGCGAACAGTTTGCTTTCCGTGATATAGTTTTACAGGCCCGAGATGACACATTAACCAGGGTGCCTGATACTCATAAATTTTATGATGCGTTGCAATATCCGATCATATTTAGTAAGGGACAAGAGGGGTACCACTTTCAAGTTCCTCAAATTAATCCTGTAACAGGTCTTCCTTGCATAACAAAAAGGTTTCATGCAT